GGTGATGAGGATTGATGATGATGGTGATGATGATGATGATGATTATGGTGATGGTGGTGATGATGGTGATGACGATGATGATTGCTGCTGCTGGTGATGACGATGATGTGGATGCTGATGATGCCGATGCTGTTGATGATGCGGATGATGCTGTTACTGATGATGATGCTGATGCTGATGATGCTGCTGCTGCTGATGATGATGATGATGATGATGATGATGATGGTGGCGGTGATGGTCGTGGTGTTGGTGATGAGTAGTATGCCGGTGTTTTATGTTTGTTGCTGTTGCTGCTGTTGTTGCTGCTGACATTGTTGTATGTGAAGAGGGCGGTGCTGATGATGCATGCTGATGGTGGTGCTGATGATGCTGCTGCTGATGCTGGTAACGATGATGAATCCGACGATGATGATGATGGTGACAATGTGATGGTGATGCTGATGATGATGATGCTGATGATGGGGATGAACATGGTGATACTGTCCATGATGATGAGATTGTAGTTTTGCTGATGCTGAATTTGAACGATGTGGATGCTGCTGATGATGCTGCTGACGATGATGACGATGACGGTGATGGTGATGCTGGTGATGATGATGTTGTTCATGATGAGGATTGTGGTGATGATGACGATACTAATGATGAGGACGATGACGATGCTGATGTCGATGATGCTGCTGATGATTATGGTGATGATGATGATCGTGATCAGGATGCTGAAAATGATGATGATGATGCTGATGATGATGATGATGGTGATGATGATGATGATTGAGTCTGATGGTGCTCATGACTGTTATGATGCTAATACTGATGATGTTGATGGTGATGATGATGATGCTGGTGAGGATGCTGATGATGATGACGATGGTTGTGGGGATGCTGCTGCCGATGATGATGCTGATGCTGCTGATGATGTGGATGCTGACGATGATGACGGAACTGATGATGATGCTGATGCTGCTGCTGATGATGATGACGGTGGCAATGTTGCTGATTCTGGTTGTGATGATGCTGTTGCTGCTTATGGTGATGCTGGCGAGGACGATGATGCTGATGCCGATGATGGTGATGATGTTGTTGATGCTGATGATGATGATGATTATGAGGTTGAAGCTGATGATGCTGATGATGACGATGCTGATGCTGAGGATGATGCTGATGATGATACTGATGAGGACGATGATGTCGATGATGATGACGATGCTGTTGATGCTGCCGATGACGATGAAGCTGCCGCTGATGCTGCTGATGATGATGCTTCTGATCCTGCTTCTGATGATGATGAGGAGGAGGATGATGATGAGGATGAAGCTGATGATGCTGATGATGTGGATGCTGCTGATATTGCTGATGATGATTAGGTGGAGGCGTAGTACGATGAACATGAGGAACACGAGGATGAGGAAAAGGAGAAGGAGGAGGAGAACATGGAGGAGGAGGTGGTGGTGGAGAAGGAGGAAGAGTAGGAGGAGGATGAGGAGGAGCAGGGGGCGTAGGAGGAACGCCCCCCGTCGCGCAGGCGTGACGACGGGCCCCGCGGCGGCCAGCGGCGTGGCCGTGTCGACGGGCAGGTGGTTCAGGGTGCAGCTGGAGCAGTGGGCTGGCTCCCTGCAGGCGGCCGCCGTCCGTTCGTGAGCAGGGGAGTCCGCGTCAAACGGCCCACCGAGTCAGCAGCCCAGCTTCGCCAGAGCGCTGGGCGAGGCCGATGCGACAGTCTAGCAGGGGAGTCCACGTCAGACGAACACCTTCCCCGGTCCTCCTCTGCCCGGTCTCTCCCTGGTCCTGGTCCTCCTCCTCGGCCTGGTCCTGGTCCTGGCCCTCCGCTTCCCGGCCACGGCCCTCACGGGCAGGGGGGTCCTGGTCCTGGTCCTCCGCTCCCTGGCCCTCACGAGCAGGGGAGGTCCTGGTCCTCCTCTGCCTCGGCCTCCCCTCTCCATGCCCCGTGCTGGTCGCGCTTCCCTGCCGCGCCACCCAACGTGCAGGTGAGACGGGGTGGGCGTTTCGCCCGCAGTGTCCTCCACCGCGGTCCTGGGCCGTGAAGGAGTGTCCAGCACGGGGTAGTGGTTTTCAAGATCGGGATCTCGCCTCAGCGCCGCGCGCATTCACTCTAAGAGCTCGCATGGTTTACGAGGATTGGGTGGTGGTGGTTTTCAGCGTGGGGCTCTGTGCCAACCGCCGCGCGCATTCGTTTCTTTTAAGCTTGCAGTTGTTACCAGGGTGGAACGTGCTGGCTTTCAAGGCGGGGCTCTCAACTTAGTAGCGGCGCGCTTATTCGTCATACTCGCTTGCAACATGTGCACAGAAGGTTTCTGTTGAAAGGATGGTTTTCGCTTGAGCCTTCCTGCCGTTCAAGACCCGGCACTTGAATCTATGCAACAGTTGCACGGGCGGAGTGTGGTTCTCTGTCAAGTCGATGATCTCGTCCGATGTCTTATTGATTCAAGATGCTTGCGCGTACTTCCAAGAGGTGAACTTTACAGGGTCTTGGGCAGAGACAACACAAGCGGGAGGGTATCACTACAGCATTTCGCAAAGCGCCGCTGAGAGTCCAGAATGGGTCGCTTTTGACGAGGTGGAGTTGGAAGTAGTTTCAGGAGTTGGTCGCACGACAACTTTTTTCCACCCTGGAATCGTCCTCCTCTGCCCAATCCTCGCTCCTGCTCTCCCCTTCAGGGAGGTAGCATGCGTGTACATGCCCGATCTTGACGCGCGTGCTGTTTTCCCTCGTTCCAGCACGAGTCACCCCAGGGTACCCTTTCTAGCCATCCGAGATAGTCCGATGGAACCTCGAGACGCACAGAAGGTCTTGAAGACCGCTGAAGACGGTCTAAAAGCCACGAGCCTCTCGAAGCCTCCCACCAATTTCTTTTGGGCAGCTGCTCGATGTATCTGCTTAGTGCAGCGAAAGCTCAAGTCTCTAAGGCGAACGCTTCATTTTGAAAACGACTGGCCCTCAATCCGTGAAACTCTGGCGAATGTTTAGGACGGATGTGCGCGGCGCTAAGGCGAGAGCCACGTTTTGAACACGACCCGCCCTCCATCCGCGAAATCCTTGCAATTTAAGAAGGCGGATGTGCGCGGCGCTGAGGCGAGAGCCACACGTTGATAACGATCCGCCCTCACTGCTGCACATGCTTTGAGGTTACGGTCACAAGGTGTGTGGAAGTCTCATGCGAATCGCCTGGCCCGCCCTTTCGACCGGCCGTGGGTTGCGACAGCGAGGAGTTGTGAAGAAGGAAAAGAAATGGAGGAGAAGAAGGAGGAGAAGGAGGAGGAGGAGGAGGAGCAGGAGGAACAGGAGGAGGAGGAGGAGGAGGAGGAGGAGGAGGAGGAGAGGAGGAGGAGGAGGAGGAGGAGGAGGAAAAGGAGGAGGAGGAGGGAGGAGGAGGAGGAGGAGGAGGAGGAGGAGGAGCAGGAGGACTTCGCACGGCGCCCCAGACGCGCGCCGCGGCGCAGCCAACGCGCGGCCCGGCGGCCGGCCCCTCCCCGCCCGGCTTCCTCACCGCCCGGCTTCCTCGGTGGCCCGGCGGCCTTTGCGTCCGGAAAGGCCGCGTGCGACGACATGGACCTCGAGGAGGACCGGGCGGGGGGAGGGTCGGGCCAGACGAAAGGGGGGGATTGGGGAAGGGGGGGGTGCGAAATTTTCTGCATGCAGCTGGTTTCGGCCCCGCCGCCGGGCCCATTCCTCGATACATGGGCGCCTCCCGGCGCCGGGAGGCGCCGGGAAGATCAGCTATGTGAGCAGATTCTCAAACCCCCCCTTTGCTATCCCCCCCTTTCGCCAGGCCCGAGAGGGGCGACACAATCGGGAGCCTTGAGACGGGAATCAATACAACGGGGGTCAGCCAGGGCGCTGGATCTGGCAGGATCTGGCAAAGCCAGGGTGGCATTTACACAGGTTAGCGCGCAGGATCCGGCAGGATTTTGCAGGAGTTTCCAGAATCCTGCAAACCCCGACCGGCCCGGGTTTGCATCGACCCTGGCCAGTGGACCAAAGCTGAGGTGGGAGGCAGGAAGAAAGAGAGAGGAGGCAGAAAAAGGAAGAGGGCGAGGAGGAGGGGGAGGATACCGTCGCTCGTTTATGGGGCAAGGTTTCGGGGGAACTATACAGAACACGCACCGACGACGACAGCGGCGACAACAGTCGTGACGAAGTGTGTGACGAAGACGCGGAGGGCGGAAGGGAGCGGGCGGGCTGGCAAGATTCAGTGTAAACTTCGCTCGTTGATGGGGCGAGGCTCTCTGGAAAATGCGCGTGGGCAGGGAGGGCAACGACAACGAATGGGGGAGACGTAGGGCGCAGGCGGAGTGCGAGTGCACGTCGACGTCGTCGTCGTCGCCGTCGCCACAGGGAGGACCTGGCGTCTTGAGAGTGTCGGAGACTTGTGGTTTGGGGTGGGTGGGCCAGACCCTCCCCCGCAAGCGCCTGCGGAAACGCTTTCCCAAAGGTCCAAGAGCCCTTCCCAGGGCAGTGTCCCAATGTCCAGAGGAAGGGCTCCTCAAGGGGCTCCCAGAGGGCTCCAAAAAGGGCTCCCAGAGGCCGAAACCGAGGATCACCTTGTGTTCTTGATAGCCATTCCGAAGATGTAGATCCTCGTGCTCCTTCGAGGGTCCACCACTGGCAACTTTTCGTGCCGCGTCAGCTGTAGCGACGAAGAGCCACCCCGAAGGCCGAACAGACGAGGAGGAGGAGGAGGGGAAGGAGGAGGAGGAGGATGAGCAGGAGGAGGCGGAGGACCAGTGTAAACCAGAGACTCACCAACGATGTTGGGATACCACTCGCCAACGATGTTGGGATACCTTCCCTCCAAGCTCCCTCGTTCATAGGCCCCATACAAGAAAGGATTCACTTCCACTGAAGGAAGTGCCCCGTTGGGAGGCAACCGTTCGAAAATCCGGAAGCGTGCCAAAACAGCACTCTCAGGAATCCAACCTCACGGGTCAACCTGCCTGTTGCGCCTTGGCGATCCTGAATCGTGCCAGAACGCAGTTCTTAGGACTTCGACACCGCGGATGAACGGAAATGTTACGCCCTGACAGTCCTGAATCGTTCGGCAACGCCGTTGCTGGACGGTTAATCATGAGAACCCGCGGCATTTGTTGCAATTGCTGAACGGATGTGCGCGGCGCTAAGGCGAGAGCCACACATTGAAATGGAACCGCCCTCAATCCATGGAGCTCTTGTACATTTTAGAGCGATGGTGCGCGGCGCTATGGCGAGAGCCACATGTTGAAAACGGCCCGCCCTCAATCTCAGAAGCTCGTCCAGCTTTTTAAGACGAATGCGCTCGGCGCTAAAGCGAGAGCCGCATTTTGGAATCGGCCCGCCTTCCATCTGTGAAGCTGTTGCCAGTTTCTAAGCTTCAGGCTCGTGAGTGGCAAGGAAGTCTCAGGCGAAACGCCCGGCCCGCCCTTCCGACCGGCCTCGGGGGTGCGACAACAGATAGGAGGTATTCGTGGGGGAAGGGAATGGAGAAGTTGGAGGAGGAGGAGGAGTAGGAGGAAGATGACGAGGAGGAGTTGTAGGAGGACGAGGCGGAGGAGGAGGAGGAGGAGGACGAAGAAGCGGAGGAGGAGGAGGAGGAGAAGGCGGAGCAGGAGCAGGAGAATAAGCAGAAACAGGAGGAGGAGGAGGAAATGAGGAGGAGGAGGCGGCGGAGGCGGCGGAGGTGGAGGCGGAGGCGGAGGCGGAGGAGGAGGAGGAGGAGGATGAGGAGGAGGAGGAGGAGGAGGAGTTGGTGGAGGAGGAGGAGGAGGAGGAGTTGGTGGAGGCGGAGGAGGGGGAGGAGAAGGATGATGACGAAGAGGAGGAATATGTATGACAGTATGAATAATAATTCGGAGAGGAGTTCTAATAATAATAATAATAACCATGGTTCTGTTATCGTTAATACGACCAATATGAAGAATACGACGACGAACCTGACTACTACTAGTACTACTACTACTACTACTACTACTACTACTACTACTACTACCTACTACTACTACTACTAGTACTAGTACTAGTACTAGTACTAGTACTACTAGTACTACTACTACTACTACTACTACGACGTTCACTGCGAGGAAGAAAATGCAGAACACGAGCAATACGAATAATCAACATACGAATAAGAATCGTAATACCACGAAGAAGCAGGTGCAGAAACAGGCGAACGCTAATGTTACAATAATAGTACGATTAACATACCTTTGCTAATAAGAGTACGACTTCGACTACGAATAATAAGAATAAGGTGCATACGAACACTAATACACATAAGGAGAAGACGCATGGGACGAACAAGGATACGCCGAACAAACAACTACTATGATCAATGCTGCTAACAAGGATAAGAAGACGTAGTCACACTACAAATAAGGATACCACTATTACGAAGAACACGAGGAGCAGGAGGAGGAGGAAGAGGAGAAGGAGAAGGAGGAGGAGGAGGAGGAAAGGGGGAGGAGGGAGGAGCAGGAATTGGAGAAGGAGGAGGAGGAGGCGGAGGAGGAGGAGGAGGAGAAGTGGGAGGAGGAAGAGGAGGAGGAGGAGGGGAATGATGATGATGATGATGATGCTGCTGATGCTGATTCTGATGATGATTATGATGATGCTGCTGATACTGATGATTCTGATGATGGTGATGATGCTGCTGGTGGTGGTACTGATGATGATGCTGATGCTGCTGGCACTGATGATGTTTATGATGATGATGCTGATGCCGATGACGATGATGATGATGATGATGATGATGATGATGATGATGATGATGATGGTGATGATGATGCTGATGATCAGGGTGTCGATACTGATGCTGACGATGCTGCTGATGCTGGTGATGCGAATGCTGCTGGTGATGATGCCAAGATGATGCTGATTCTGATGATATGGTGATGATGCTGCTGCTGCTGATTATGATGATGACCATGATGCTGATGATACTGGTGATCCCGATGATGATGCCGATGCTGCTGATATTGATGCGGATGCCGATGCTGATGATGCTGCTGATGTCGATGATGCTGGTGCTGATGATGATAATGAGGCTTACGCTGATGATGATGATGCTGATGCCGATGACGCTGATGGTGATGCTGATGATGATGATGATGATGATGATGATGATGATGATGATGATGATGATGATGATGGATGATGATGATGATGATGATGATGATGATGATGATGATGATGATGATGATGATGATGATGATGATGATGCTGATGCTGATGCTGATGCTGATGCTGATGCTGATGCTGATGCTGATGCTGATGCTGATGCTGATGTTGATGCTGCTGCTGCTGATGATGCTGATGACGATGATGCTGATGGTGATGATGCTGCTGATGATTATGAGGATGGGGGATGAGGGGAAGGAGGAGGGTGAGGAGGAGGAGGAGGAGGAGGAGGAGGAGGAGGAGCAGGGGCAGGGGCAGGGGCAGGGGCAGAAGCAGTACGGTAGGTTCGTGTCGTGTCGACCGGCGGCGACCCCGCCAGCGGCGTTCAACCTTCAACGCCGCGGGCGACCCAGAATCGTTCGATGTGGAACGATTTGGACGTTTCGGAAACGGCCGATCGTTCAAGTTTGAACGATCCCCGCGGTGTCAGAAACCAACGCCGGGGTCGACACGACGCGAACCTGCCGTAGCAGCAGCAACAGCAGGAGCAGGATCAGCAGCAGCATCAGGCGCAACAGCAGCAGCATCGGCAGAAGCAGCAGCAGGAGCAGGAGCAGGAGCAGCATGAGACTTATGAGGAGGGGGAGGAGGAGGAGTTGGTGGGGGAAGAGGAGGCGATGGAGAAGGAGGGGGAGGCGGATGATGATGAAGATGATGAACAGGATTAGGACCAGCGGCAGGAGTGGGAGCGATAACCGAGGGGATCATGAGGAGGTGGTAGAGGAGGAGGAGGAGGAGGACGAGGGGATGGATGATGATGCTGATGATGCTGATGATGTTGATGCTGATGATGGGCATGGTGATGATTCGGATGAGGATGATGGTGATGCGGATGTTGATGATGATGCGGATGATGACGATGATGCTTCTGACGATGCTGATGCTGCTGATGATGATACTGCTGATGTTGCTGATGATATTGCTGATGATGTTGATACCGATGCTCATGCTGTTGATGATGATGCTGATGTTGATGATCATGGTGGTGGTGGTGCTGTCGGTGATGCTGATTCTGATGCTGCTGATGATGTCGCAGATGATGCCGATGCCGATGCTGAGGATGCTGCTGTTGACGACGATGCAGACGATGCTGCGGATGCTGCTGCTGATGATGATGCTGATGCTGATGACGTGGCTGGTGCTGATGCTGCTGCTGATGATGATGATGATGATGATGCTGATGCTGATGATGATGATGATGATGATGATGATGTTGCTGCTGATGAAACCGAGGGCGATGCTAATGCTGTTGATGACGATGATGATGCCGATGATGATGACGATGTCGCTGATGATTATGCTGATGCTGATGCTGATGACGACGATGATGATGCTGATGCGGCTGCTGCTGATGATGATGGTGCTGATGCTGGCGACGACAATGCTGATGCTGATGCTGTTGGTGCTGGTGATGGTGG